CCATATGCAGTAATGAAGACCCAGCACAGCCAAAAACAATAAATAAATACAATTTAAATTTTTTAAAATAAAAGTGAACTATATACATGTATTATCTAGTCCACAAATTACTTCTCAGAGCTACTAACATAATCAGAAAAAAAAAGTTAACAACTTAATAGAAAAGTGTGCAATGTATATGACTAGATTCTTCCTGGGAAAACAAACAGGCACCAATCACAAATGGCTTTTAAACCTATGGAAGTATGCCAAGGCTGTCACTTTAATGAGAGGATCAATTAGAACCATATTAAGTTTTTTCAACAACAGGCTGTGTAGATCAAAAAGTTGGGTAATATGATGTGTCAGGAAGGATATGAAAAATTGGGATTCTCATATGCTGCTGGCTGCCCTGTAAATAGGTGTAACCTCTCTGTTGGGCTGTGGGAAGTATCTGGTAAAATTCAGAATTCACATAACCTTTGATTCAGTAATTCACTTCTAGGAATTTACTTTAAATCCACCCCTATATGTATGCCAAGACGGATGCACAAAGGTGTTTCCTGCAGCATTGTTCACAGTAGAAAAGCCTGGGGAAAAACCAAAATGCCCTTCTGCAGCCTACTTAAAGAATAGAGGACTTCCTTGGTAGTGCAGTGGATGAGAATCCGCCTGCTAATGCAGGGGGCACAGATTCAATCCGTCCTCCTGGGTGATCCCGCACACTATGGAACAACTAAGCCCGTGCGCCAAATTACTGAGTTTAGGGCCCAGGAGCCACAACTACTGAACCTATGCGCCTCGAGCCAGTGCTCCGCAACAAGAGAAGCCATTGCAATGAGAAGCCCATGCGTCGCAGCAAAGAATAGCCCCTGATCGCCGCAACTAGAGAAAGCCCAAGCTAAGCAATGGAGATCCAGGGCAGCAAAAAAAAAAATTTTTTTAAGAAAAAGGATCACCCAACAATAAAAAATATGGTTATAAGGTCTACAATCCAACAGTAAAAGACAGTTCATCAAACAATTAAAAGAAGAGAAGAGAATAAAAGAATCCAACGGTAGAAGAGAATACAGGAATCCACTGTAACAGGCCAAGTCTGTGTGCGCTTGTGTATATGATGCTTTCTGAGATATTATAACATCAAAGGTAAGTCGTGAAATGCCATGTACAAAATTATAGCATGCGTATAAACAGGATGAGGGAATCCTATGTGGGCTTGGGTGAGATAGCTCTGATGGCTATAGGAAATGCTTGGGACAGTGGTGGTCTCTGAGAAGGGGACTCTGGACTTGGCGGGGAAGTACCTGTGATGGAGAGGGGACTCCTATGAAACAGACTTGCTGGGTGGGGAGGGGCTGTGAGAGAAGAGCTTTGAGAATGAGCTGGTGGCCCAGGGAAGCATGAGGTGTGGAGGGGGAATGAAGCAGAGGTTATAGAAGTTTTCAGTGCACATTTATTTTCAAAATTGTAAAAGTAATGTGGCTTTATACCAGCGTCCCAGGTGGCTGAGACAGTAAAGAATCTGCCTACAATGTAGGGGACATGGATTCCACCCCTGGGTCGGGAAGATCCCCTGGAGAAGGGAATGGCTACCCAGTCCAGTCTGCTCCAGGAAATGAAACAGTTTTTCACTTTGATGTGTTTCCAGTCTTTTTATATGTACCAGTGTCCACTGTTTGTTCCTGCTTTGCCACTTAACGTGTATTTCATGTACATGTTTCATGTGTATTACAAGTAATGAATGCTCCTGACACCAATCATTTTAAATTCCTTCATAGAGTTACAAGCGGTGACACAGTAATTTATTCGAACAATCACTCCATCGTTTGTCACTCCCATAGATTTCATTACCTTTTTCAGTGTTGTGTGTACACAGCATTTCTTCTTTGAAGAAAATTCCTTAGAACAGCTCCCCAGACATGGAAGCTATGTTGTGTATCCAGGGAAGTTGCTAAGGAGAACTTGAGGAAGTTTCTCATAGTGTGAGAATCAGAAGTGGGGTCTGGATGTACGGTGATTACAGCAAACTGAAAGCGAACCCTAACCTAACTAAGAAAGTTCACTGAAAAGTACAAAACTGCTGAAGGAAATTATAGAAGACACAAAGAAATGAAAAGCCATCCAGTGTCCATAGATCTGAAAATTTAATATTGTCAAGCTACCCATGGGTTTCCCTGATGGCCCAGACAGTGAAGAATCTTCCTGCAATTGAGGAAACCCAGGTTTGATCCCTGAATTGGGAAGATCCCTTGGAGAAGGAAATGGCAACCCACTCTAGAATTCTTGCCTGGAGAATTCCACGGACAGTGGAGTCTGGCAGGCTACAGTCCCCAGGGTCTCAAAGAGTCAGACACAACTTAGCAATTAACACACCCACACAGAAGTCACCTATACTACCAAAAGCAGTCTACAGATTCAGTGCTATTCCTATCAAAATATTTCTTTTTGCAGAAATAGAAAAACCGATTCTTGAGATCAAATGGAATTTGAGGGGATTCTGAACAACTAAAGTAACCTTGAAAAAGAAGAACCAAGTTGGAGGGCTTACACTTTCTGATTTCAAAACTTATTATAAAGCAACAGTGGTACTGGCATAAAGACAGACTAGAAAGTCTTTTCAACAAATGGAGTTGGGAAGAACTGAATATCCACATGCAAAAGAATTAAATCAGACCCTTACCTAAAACCATGTACAAGAAAATTAACTTGAAGTGGATTCAAGAGCTAAAACTGTAAAACTCTTAGAAGAAAACATAGGAAGAAAGTTTTCTGACACTGGATTTGATAATAATTTATTGGGTATGACACCAAAAGCACAGGCAACAAAAGGAAAAGTAGATGAGCCAAATAAAAACTATATCAAACAAGACTTCTGCACATTAAAGGGCACAGTCCTCACAGTTAAAACTATGGATTGGGGGAAATATTTATCAACCATATATCTGATCATGAGTTAATGTCCAGAATATTTATAGAACTCCTACAACTCAACAACAACAAAACCAACCAGATTTACTAATAGGCAAGCGACCTGAATAGACATTTCTCCAGAGATAATATACAGATAACGAGCAAGCATATGAAAAGCATATCAACAATTTACTTTACAGTATTGTAGTGGTTTTTGCCATACATTGACATGAATCAGCCATGGGTGTACATGTGTTCCCCATCCTGAACCCCCCACCCATCTCCCTCCCCATCCCATCCCTCAGGGTCATCCCAGTGCACCAGCCCTGAGCACCGTCTCATGCATTGAACCTGGACTGGCGATATGCTTCACATATAATAGTATTTGGTCTTAAAAAGGACTGAAATCCTGTCTCATACTACAACACAGATAAATCTCAGGTTCATTATACTAAGGGAAATAAGCTGGTCATAATAAGATAAACACTGTATAATTCCAATTATCTGAGATATCCGAAGTACTCAAAGTCTTAAAACAGAAACTAGAATGGTGGTTACCAGGTGCTAGTGGGGAGAGGATGGGAAGTTGATTAATAGGAACAAAGTTGTAGTTTTGCAAGATAAAAACGTTCTGGAGTTCCGTTGTGCAAAAACGTGAGTAGTCTTAACATCACTGAACTGTACACTTAAAAGTGTACATTTTTTAAAATTTGGTAAAAAGTGACAAATTTTATGTTAAGAGCACTTTTGACTACATTTTTTTTAAATGAAAGCAAACTCAGAGATAAAAGCTCCATCTCCAAAATGAGGTGAGCTCAAGACAAAGATGAGATGAAACCCACACTCCCTTTAATGAGCTGATTCATAGTGTTTAGTGTAACTGTTAGGAATAGTTGGGGAATGACTTCTGAGTAGCACTATAGAGCAGCTCAGAGAAGCATCCAGACGGAAATGTGCCATGCTCAAGCCGGTTCTCCTTCTGGAGTCCTGGAGTGAAGTGAGTGAAAGTCGCTCAGTTGTGTCATACTGTTTGCCTCTGTAGCCCACCAGGCTCCTCTGTCCATGGAATTCTCCAGGCCAGAATACTAGAGTGGGTATCCTATTCCTTCTCCAGTGGATCTTCCAGACCCAGGAATTGATCTGGGGTCTTCAGCATTGCAGGTGGATTCTTTTCCAACTGAACTACCGGGGAAGCTGGTCCCGGAGAAGGAGTTGTAATAGAGACCCCTGTCTTATGGGCAGGTCACAGCCAAGCTTCCTTGGACCCCCACCACCACCCAGGGTACTTTGGAATCTTCTGGGCTTTCTTAGGGGAGCAGAACTGCAGGAGCCAACAGATCCAGAGGGTGGCGCTTCCTGCCTCTCAGGAGCTCTTTTTTCCACAAAAGGGACCAACTGCCCTTGGAACTTTAACTTGCCCTTGGGATTCTGAGTCCACCGTGACTTTCAAAAGCCCCTACAACCTGATGGATGTCTGCAGTGCAAGCCGCCTGTGGGGGAGACACAGCCCTTTCTCTTTGGAGGTGGCGCGTCTTCTGGGAAGCTCACTTCCAACATCTGTTGGCCTCCCACTCGAGCATGCCTGTTCTCCTGGAATCTCAAGGACCTGCAGCCCTGCCACCCTGACCATGGGGCCTGGGACATTGCTCTGTTTTCCATGATTAACTCCCTGAGTCAAGGAGGAAGCAAGAGGCAGGAGGCTGGACTGTGCAAACAGCAGTGGGCAGAAACTTCTGGAGGAAGCGAAGAGCCTTAGAACAGTGACCCGGGTAACCTGGACTTGGAACCTGGATTCTGGTGGAACGTCTTAAAGACTCAGAATATGGCTATCTTGGCAGTCTGTTGATCTTGAGAGACAATTGGGAACTGGAGCCGCCAACCATAAAGGGAGGGCGTCCTCCCTTCAGAGCAAAACCCTCTGGTTCTTTCCCTAGTCAGCCTGGGCTGCTGACCCAGAGCTCAGGGCGCAGCCAGCGCACCTGCCGCGCTCACCTGCCCCGCCCGCACCCGCCTGGCACATCGGCACACGCATTGCCCGCCCTCCTCGCCCCGGCCGGCCCCCCCAGGGCGTGTCGCCCAGTGGTCAGTCCAGCCCTCACCAGGCTCTCTCTGTCGCCCGGAGCTGCGGCCAAGGGTCAGGAGGGCCCGGAGCCGCACCTGGAAGATGCGCCCCGTGGCTGCCGGTGAGTGCAATGCCCCACCGGAGGGAGACGGGAAGGGGGGCCCGGCACGGGAGAGTCGCCCGCTCGCCCTTCCTGGGACCCGCCGCGCGGAGCCAGAGGTGGGGGCGGCACCGGGAGGGTCTTCTCTTCGGGGATCAGGAATGCGCGAAGCGAATCCAGCCGCGGTGCGAGTGGGCTGGGGTTTCGTCCGCCCTCCCGCCTGTCCCCACCGCCCTCGTGGCGTGCAGGGCGGAGAAAAGGGGGGAACCAGTGACTGTGACGCTTTGCCTGGAGAGCAGGCAGTGGCTGAGCGCAGCTAGAGCAGAACCCAGTGAGCCCTTACGCGGGAGGTGCTCAAGGCCCCCCGCGCTCCAGGGCCGGGAGGGGGCTGCCCGAGCCGGTCAGAGGTCCTTGTGAACTGCACTTGGGGTCCCTCGGGCCGAAGCCAGGGATCCTAGCCACAGGTCCACCCAACGAACCCAGGGAATTATGAAGAGTGCAGAAACTAAGTGTTTTAAGTCACCGGGTGGCTGGGAAGTGGGGGCTCATTAACAAGGAATGCCCCATTGTCCCTTTCATGACAGTTCCAGTAGCGTCTTTTTATAAGACGCCCTACTCCCCACTCCTCTCCTCCAAACTACTTGAGCCTGCAGAATGTTTGGGGGGAAAAAAGTAAGAAAGATACTATTTCATCTCCCAGCACTCGTTTTCCCAGCAGTGGCCTCTATGTGCCTCGCCTTCCCGCCTGCCTGCGAATTCAGGCACCCTGGGGTCCATGTGAACCTCTGGCCCCTGCCACACATTCCCTTTCTAGTCACTTTTGCTGTTTCTTCCGTAATCTGAGGAGATCTGGATCCCTCCCAGAGCGTGGCAGCATAGTGGGAAGAAATGAAAAGATCAAAAATGGAGCGTTCTCCTGGCCTCTCTAGAGGTCAGCCCTCCATCCCTGGGTGGCAGGCGACCTCCTTCCTCCCTGAGAGGCATTCTGGTTGTGTGACCAGACAGCAGAAAGTCCCACTCACTGCCTTTCTGCTCCATGCCCAACATGTAGGAAAGCCCAGTTTTAAGACTTTTGTTGTATTTGTGTAAAATATCCATGCTTTCTACAAAACCATTTTTCTATGAACAGTACTGCTTTGGGTAACTCGCAGGGCTTGTAGGATAAATGTGAGGAGATGCACCTCTTTGCTTGGGGAAAAATATATCTCTTGGGGCACTGACTTTTATTACAGCCATTTTGGAAAATTTTTTTTTCATTATTTCTACATTATATACTTGGGCTTTCCAGGTGGCGCTAGTGGTAAAGAATCTGCCTGTCAATGCTAGAGACAAAAGAGGCGCGAGTTCAATCCCTAGGTCAGGAAGATCCCCGGGAGGAGGAAATGGCACCCCACTCTAGCATTCTTACCAGAAGAATCCCGTGGACAGAGGAGCCTAGTGGGCTACAGTCCATGGGGTCACAAAAAGTGAGACACAACTGAGCATCTGAGCACAACATATTATTTAGTATATACTTATCATATGATTTTGCTGTTGACTTGGTGGAAAATAATTGAATATTATTAGATTGCTTTTCCCCCCACCTACTACTTTTTCACACACAGTCCTTGTGATTCATTTGTGAGCTATGTGGTCCTTTCACATCAAGCTTTGAAGTCACACCGAGTTGTCATTTATCTGGGTGTGGCTGCCAGAGAGAATACTCGCAAAAGGTCAGGGCTACGCCACTTTTGATTTTGTGAGCTAAGGATCTGACAATGCGTGGAAGTAGCATTTCCCTAGACACTTCAGTCAAGCCCCAGGTCTGCCCCGAGTAGGGCTCTAGGAAGGACACTCAGACCGAAGGAGAAGGGCAGCTACCTGGAACAGTCATCCTAATTCCTTAAAAGTACGGGTGTTGGCATGTGAACTTTGAAAGGTGGGTTACCTTGCAAACCTGCTGAGATGCTCCGACGTGACGCTTCCCAGCCCCACTGCCACAAAGCCTCGTCAACAGGACTGTGACAGTTGTGGCCACTGGGACCAGCAGGGCCTGGAGCCACAAAGCCGCTGAAACCCAAGTCTGGTCCACCCACCCCTCAGCACCCCCAGCTTCTCAAGGACAAGAAGTGCAGGTGTGGCTGCTTCGGGGGTCCAGGGGATGTGGGTCCCTGTGGGGAGGCTGCCAGTAACAAACAGCATCCTTGTCCACTTGATGTGGAAGGAATCCCTCTTGAGTGTACTCTTGTGGGTTCAGGACTGGATTTGGGGGAGATCCTGAGACCCTCCTCACCAGCATCCTGCCTTAGTGTGCACTGGCTTTGTCCTCCAGCCTAAGTGGTCAGCGCCAGCCTGAAACACCCGAGGATCTGAGGGGGGGGCGAAGGGACGGCATACACACGTGTGCCCTAACAGAGGGTCTCTGAGGAGGAAGTTCCAACTTCCTGCCTGTGCCCAGAATGGCCTTTGCTCTAATGCTCATGGATGACAACTGGTAGAAGCGCTCAGGACACGTCTGTGGGCTGATGACAACTTTATTGCCTTATGAGGAAAGGCCAGATCCTGGTCCCAGAATCACAGAAGTTCCTGGACTCTGTGTACTTCCTCTATCTCCTCCTCCACGTCTGAAGGTGCTGGACCTCGCCTGCTGGGGTAGACCTCCCCGCCCTGCCCCCTGCACCGGGGCTGATCTTAGCCAAGTCCTTGAGCCTCCACCTTTCCCAAGATGAATCCTCAGCCATGCCCCCCACCGCGGCCCCAGGTGCTGGCTCCACCACCCACCCGTGCCTCATCTTCTTACCGTAAACTGGTCAGTACATGCTGCTGGGTCTGCCCGCCCTCCCCAGGAGGGTTCTGGCTGCAGATCATGGCTCCTCCCAGTCACTGTGGGAAACTTGGCCTGGGGGTCAGCAGCTGCACCCCTCCCCCAGAGCACAGACTCTTTATAGCCTTCCTAGGAGCCCCTGGAAAACGTTCAAGTTCCAAGTTCATGATTCCTTGTGTGAGGATGTCTGGGCTTTTATTCTCTCTTCATTATCTTCCCTGTCACTGCCACCGGTTTGTCCTTGTTCATGTGGGGACAAAACCATGCCTCCCTTCCAAGCAAAAGGGCATCAGAGAGGTGGCACCCCACTCCCTTTCAGTCTCCTCCAAACCAAACAGCAACTCTTTGCTCAAAGATCTCACATGTGACATTGAGAAGATCTGAATAACCTCCACTTTGCCAGTTTTCTTCAAATACAACACTTGTCTGTGAATTGACACGTGGGACACAGTGAACTATTGTTTTTGAACCTGAGACTCTGTTGATGCCGAATCCATGTTTCTAGCAGTCGCATCCCACGGTTCACTCAGGGCGCACCTAGCAGCCTGTCTGGGACACCCTGTGACCCTCACCCCATCCCCGGTGCGCTGCGCAGACCTGAAGGGGAGACGCGGTGGGCAATGCCGATGGGCTGACCTGAGGGTGCCCGCGCAGGCCACACCCAGGAGGCCACAGATCCGTGCTGGGGCCGTTGAAGGAACAGATGGCCAGGGTCTGGAGGTGGGCGCCGTGGGGGCAGAGGGACAAACTCATCCCCAGGGTGCAGATGCAGCAGGCAGCTCGGCAGCGGGTCGGCGAGGCTGGAGCTCAGAACAGACAAAGGGGTTTCCGGGACAGCATGCCAGCTCCCCCTGGGCTCTCGCTGTGTTTTCTGTGGCTGGTTTTTCCAGCTTGGAGATGTCCCTGTGCTAGGGACTGCAATAACCACACTGTTTCAGTCATTTCCCAGCCGAAAGCCTTCTCTGCATTACATTCTAACCTCAGAAACTGCATGGTTGGAAAAAAGAGGGAATTGATATTGAAATATGCACTTGAAAAAATGACTAAATGATCCCGGTGAGGCAGAGGGGTCTTGTTTCACCAGGTGACTACCTAAGCTAACCAGACACCCCCCCACCCCAAGCACCTGCAGCACTGACTGGATATAACCCACCCCATGTTAGTCCAGGTCGGTGGGGGAGGCGGGGGGAGGGAATCTCTAGGTATTAGGAATGAAGAGGGAGCTGAGATCCGGGGCTCAACACGGCCAGACTGACAGAGGTTTGCATTTCATCATGGCCAGAGAAAGAGGATACCCAGGGCTGGGCTCTGGAGAGTGGGACAGGGGGCTGGGGAATACCCACTGGTCTCTGCTCAGGGCTCTGGGTGGGGCGACACCAGCGCTCTGACACGGACTAGGTGTCCAGCCACTCAGTTCACCTCTGACACCCACCACCCACAGAACCCAGGGGCTAAGGGCTGTGCCCCCTGCGAGCTGCCCTGTCTTCAGATGCCAGCCATAGGCTTCAGGGGCCACCCACACTTCTGAGCAGCCGGCTACAAAACGGAGGCTTCCCACAACTCCTAGGGTAGGGGCATTTCTGGAACGATTCACAGAAACACTGCAAGCACTACTGTATTTGTGATTGCAGTTTTATACTTTAGGATACAAATCAGGAGGACCAGCCAAATGCAGGGCTTCCCAGGTAGTGCAATGGTAAGGAATCTGCCTGTCAATGCAGGAGACACAGGTTTGAGCCCTGGGTCGGGAAGATCCCCTGGAGGAGGAAGTGGCAACCCTCTCCGGTATTCATGCCTGGAGAATCCCATGGACAGAAGAGCCTGGCAAGTTACAGCCCTTGGGGGTCACAAAGAGTGGGACACAACTGAGCAGCAGGCATGGCCATCAGCAAAGACCTGGAGGGCCCAGAGCAAAAGTCCCGTCCCCACACCCCTGGGAATCGGGATACGTCCCCTCCTGGCACATCTGTGTGTTCCCCGCCAGGAAACCCCCCAAGTTTCTGAGTTCCAAGTTTCACTGGGATCTTATTACATCATTGGTACATGACTGAGCTGGCCTCCTTTCTCTCCCCTCTCCTGGGGTTTGAGAGTGGGTCTGAGGTATGGGCTGGGTCTTTCTGGCATGGCCAGCCACCCTCCCTGGAAACTATCCCAAGACCCACCTCATTAGCATAAATTCTGGTGTGGATGAAAGGGGCCCCGTATGAACCACAGCAGACACTCCAATCAGGAAGTTATCAGAGTTTGAGGAATTCTGTGCCAGGAACTGGGATAAAGATGAGATGTATCCTTTATTATGTGCATGGGTGCAGGCTAAATCGCTTCAGTTGCGTCCAACTCTTGGTGACCCTATGGACTGTATCCCACCAGGCTTCTCTGTCCATGGGATTCTCCAGACAAGAATACTGGAGTGACTGCTATTTCCTCCTCCAGGGGATCTTCCCAGCCCAGGGATCGAACCCATGTCTCTTATATCTCCTGCATTAGTAGGTGGATTCTTTACCACTAGCACCACCTGGGAAGCCCATTCTTTATTACACTCCAGTGATAAGTCAGCACCCACCATGGGGAGCACCTAGGTTCGCTACCAGGGAGAAAGAAGAGCCAGGATGGGGGACCTGGGAAGACAGAGGCCATAGAGATGAAGAGAGGTCTGTGGCGGGGCCCCAGCAGCCTGGCCAGTGGATTCCACCAAAGCCTGGCAGGGGACGTGTGGAATTGGGAAGAGGCCCAGACGTCGGAGCCTGTCCTGGGCAAGATGTGGAGCAGGAGCAGACTGGGGAACTGGGGAAGATCAAGGGTTTCGTCTGGGGCCTGTGAGGCCCTGCGAGGTATCCTGGGTGCTGACAGGTCAGCAAGGGGGCAGCCTTGTCCAGAGCTCAGAGGATGGTCCGGGTGAGCTCATCTGAGATCCTGCGGAGAGACACGGGGGATAAGCCAGCAGAGGAGGCCAGGTCTGCCCAGGACAGGGGAACCTCCCGCCTCCAGGAGGGTGTATGCTGTCCAGGGAGGGTGTGGACGGGGCAGAGCCATCCAAGGGGACTGGGGCTGGCAGCCTAGAGGCTCTGGAGGCCTCGACCAGAACAGCTGCCTGGAGCGCAGGGAGATGGTGTGGCCTGGAGCCACTCCAGGGTACAGTTATTTCTGGATGCTTTGCCTGAGAGGGAACAGAAAGAAGACAGTGAGGAGGTGTGGGGCCCGGTGGGCAGGCTCTTCCCTTGCCTTCCCCTTCCCCCTCTTGTTTTACCCTCATCCTCCATTCCTTTCTCCCTCTCTTTCCTCCCTCTCTCCCTTCCTTCATCCTTCCATCCATCCATTCGTCCTCTTGTTATTTCTCAGGACTGGACCTAAACACTTATGGGGGACATCCCTGAGTCCCCTTGTGCAGGGTCTTGGGCCATCCCTGGATCTTGGCAGTTTGGGGAATGCTGCACAGTCTTGATCTGTGGACTCTTTACGGAGTAAAATCTAAAAAATTTGTCTGTGGAGGGACAGAGCTATCCCCCAGGCCTCTAGGAACCTAAGAGTGCATCATTGCCTTGTCCCCAGAAGTTAAAAGGAGGATCCTGGAGTCTGTCGACCAGACAGAGTCTCTCCAGGGACGTCTGTGGAGGCAGTCCGAGCGCGGTTTGGTAAAGAATTTCCAGACACAGAGCATCTCAGAAGGGAGTGAATTTATTATTAAGAGCAAAGAGCAGAGATAATGTGGGCTTTGGGAGGTGCTCAGCGGGCCGACAACTCCTGAAAGACCAGAGAGAGTCAACAGTTTTCATGGGTCAATAGCCAATTATTGTAGCCTCAAGACAAAATTACTGCTGGAAGGTTAGCATTAGGTGATTGGTTGGGGTACTGTACGGTATTTGGGCTTCCCTGGTAGTTCAGCTGGTAAAGAATCCACCTGTAAGACAGGAGACCCCAGTTCGATTCCTGGATTGGGAAGATCCTCCTGGAGAAGGGATAGGCTACCCACTCCGGTACTCTTGGGCTTTCCTGGTGTCTCAGATGGTAAAGAATCTGCCTGCAGTGCAGGAGACCTGAGTTCCATCTCTGGGTTGGAAAGATCCCCTGGAGGAGGGCATGGCAACCCACTCCAGTATTCTTGCCTGGAGAATCGCATGGATGGAGGAGTCTGGCAGGATACAGTCAATGGGGTCGCAAAGAGTCAGACACGACTGAGCAGCACAGTGTGTTTACTGGAGTGGGCATTCTGTCTAACTGGGAGGCAGGAAGTAATGATCGGGGGCTTTTGGCAATGGTTAAAAAGGGGCTCAGTCAGCTTCAGAGTTGACCTTGATTCTGGGTTCTGCTTCCACTTCCGTGTGATCGGTGCAAAGCCTCACACCTGTGGCCTGCAGCAGGACTCCACAACATCCTTCGCCAGGAACCGTGGGTGTCCCTCCAGCCTTGTCTGAGAATAATGACAGTCTGGGGACCATTTCCAGTGTCACAAGGGTGACTGCGTGCTCATGGGTCCACTTCCGTGTGATCGGTGCAAAGCCTCACACCCGTGGCCTGCAGCAGGACTCCACAACATCCTTCGCCAGGAACCGTGGGTGTCCCTCCAGCCTTGTCTGAGAATAATGACAGTCTGGGGACCATTTCCAGTGTCACAAGGGTGACTGCGTGCTCATGGGTGCCAGGTCCCACCCTCAGCACTGGAGTGACACAGTAAACAAACCAGGGTGCCTCCACCACCCTCCGGGTTTCTGTCTGCTTCCAGGAGCTTCCTAAGTCCCACGGGCTCTGGAGGGAAGGGCCTCTTCTGTCCCGAGGCCAGGTGTCAGGGCCGCCTGACGAGTCCTTGATGTGAGCCCGTGAGGAAGCTCACCAGCACAGCAGCAGATGGGAACCTCAGCCCGACCTCCTTCACATCCCACTCCTGTCACCTGCTCACCTCACCTGATCCTGTTCCCCCCCAGCTGTGCTCGGAAGCCAGTGGGCTCCACTGAGTGCCCCCAGGCCCTTGCCAGCCCACCGTCCTGAGGAATTCCCCATGGGGCATTCTGCCAAGACTCAGGGGTGCCATCAGGAAGGCTTGGATGGGGTCAGGAGAGCAGGTGGGGGCACCCACATGCGTCTTGTCGTCTGTCTGTCCACAGGCACCCTGAAGGCAGTGTTCTTCATCTTCGTCTCCCTGTGTGCCTGGTACTCCGGGTACCTGCTGGCAGAGCTCATCCCAGACGTGCACCTGTCCAGCGCCGTCTACAGCATCCAGAGCATTGGCAAGAAGCCCGTCCTCAAAGGTGGGTACCACGGTGGGGTCAAGGCAAGGACTTGCAGCCCTGCTGCAGCGGTGCAACTGGGCTGTGGTCTCTACTGCTGTTTATGTTGATGAGAAAGAGGAGGAGGAAGAGGAAGAATTCTGTCCCCTAGTTCCCACTCCATTGCCCTGCTCACACCCCATGAGACCCCAAGCAAACCATGATGTTAGGAAAACAAGCTTTATATGCAGGATGCATTAAAAATTCACAATGGAATAGGGGATGAAGTGAAATTACAAAATATCCACTAAAAATTACATTGGAAAATGTGTGGGACCCTGAAGTCATCATCTGTTCGTTTTCCCACAATCTCATTGTAAATAGGTAGCTGATATACTTTTAACAGAAATAAATGATACAAAATTAATTGTCACAGGTATAAAGAGCAGGGTGATGATTTTAAAATGTTATAAAAAACCATTCATTTTCAAACTTGTTTACCTTTTGTGGCCAGGAAAAAAAAAAGAATTTTTAGATATTGACTATGACTGAAATGTTTTTATTTCAAGTAGGATTTTTCACAGTGAATTTGCTTGTAATCAGATGGGTTTTATTGCATGTGGATTATGGATGAGGCCAGTGCCCTGGGGGAGACCCTGTGTATTCAGGGAATGGATCTTCTCTCAAAGGGCTGACTTTCTCATTTTCTCCAATTTTATACAAAATGGGAGTCTGTTTCAGGTGAGGGCTTGCCTCCAAGAGCTGCCTCTAACCTGATCTTTTTATACGGGCTCATTCATGTGGTTTCTGATTCCCACCAGGGGAGCGGGGAGGCCCTGTCATCCTCCCTTGTGATGAAGCACGTTGGGTTCTTGGGAACCAAAGGTGGTGCTGAAAGCCAGAAGCTGTGTCCTGGATCCTACTGGCTTGCAGCCTCAGCTCTGGGGGAATTCATGACTGCTCAGGAGTCTGGTGGACCCAGAGTGTGGAGGTTGTGTCTTGTGATTCATAGTTTAACACTCACGTGTGTTGACTTAAAAAATATTCACAACCTAGAAGTTGAGAGTTATGTTTTATTCGGTGGGAAATTTTAGGACTTCAGGTCCGGGAGACAGCATCTCAAGTAGCTCTAAGAGAAACTCTGAGGAGGCAAGGGGAGGAGCCAGGTTATATAGAAGTTTTGCAACAAAAGGCAGGTAGTCTGAACATCAAAAGATGACCGTTATTTAAAGAAAACCAATATCCCAGGTTAAGGAATTTAGCACTTTTCTATGTATGGGAAGATGCAAGAATCTAGGTTCACTGAAATCATTCCTTTCATATGCGCCTCAGCTCTCCGGCCCAGTATCCTGGTTTGTGTCCTGTGTTCCTCAGAGCTCACCGTAGGAAGTGGCTGCAGCCTGATGGCTGCTAGATGGCAGCTGTTCTTTCCTTCTTGAGTTCCCTCAGGTCTCACTGGCTCTCATAGGGGGGCTGCAACTGCTGGTGACTATGACATCCTTGTTTACTGATATGGCAAGAAACATTTCATTTCTTACATGGATAAAAGATTAAAAGGGGACGGCATCCTCCATGGGGTCGGGCTGGCTTTGCGGCCACACTCTGTGCTGTTATCCACAGTGTGGCTGGGGGAATGGATGCTCCCGAGGGACAGGTGCGCCCTGTCCAGATGCCACCTTCAGAGCCCCTCTGTTCCTGGCAGACAGGCGGGTAGAGGATGCTTTCCTGGCCTCAGAAAGGACATGGTTCAAGGACAGAACACAACTCCTGTAGGCCTTGGGGCCCTGGAATCCTCTGTTACTTTGGGCTCTGCACAGAGTTTGACCTACATTCCTCAGTCCCTGAGGCTACAGGCTCAGTCCCTGACACACCCACTCAGAATCAGCAGAGAAGGAAGATTATGTTGAGGTGTGAGGTCAGTGTCGGCACTGAGCAAAACGAATGTTGGAAACTGGGGCTCTGAGCACTGAACCCCCATGGCCCAGGCCCCGGAGTGAGATCACCTGCATCCACCACTGTGGGCTGCCACTCCTTCATCCTGTCTTGGCTTTGCCCACTTCTTTATCTATTCTCTTAAAATGGCCCATTTCTTGACATAGCTGTGGAGGCCCTTGATCATGGCTTTGGAATTCCACGGAGTTGACCCTTCCCTTTGTAAATCCAGTTCTCCCTGGGTTCACACCATCTGTCAGTGGGTTGGGTGTAGCCTCCCCACCATTCACGTGTGATTTTGCATGCACGGGCAAGTCCCGCTGACTCGGCTCATTTTCTAGAGCCAGTCTCCTCCTGCTCAGGAACCTGGGCCGTGGTTGGAATCTGCCTGGATAGCAGGTCTTTGTCCTCTGGCCTCCCTGCCTCCCCATGCTGCAGCCAAGCACAGCAGGTAGGGATCAAAAGTGGTCAACACACAGTTTGGAAAAAGGAAACGAGAGACAGAACTAAAGTTTTAAAGTTGGGACCAGGGGACTCATGACCTCTAGGATCAAGGGCCCTGCTGACCGATTCCACGTCACTTTTTTTGAGCTCTTAGTATGCAGAAGTATCCGGTTTTTAGATAACATAAGGTTCCCATGCCCCCAGTCACGTCCCAGAGTTAATGCTCTTCTCTGTACTTTTATGTTACCTCCTGGTACCAAAGGCATCACACAGCCAGGGGCAGCAGTCTTCACAGGAACATTGGAAGAACCATCAGTGTTTCCACAAGCAGCATTCTGAACTTGTGCTGACCCGGAGTTCCAAGGTCCACACCATGTTCCTCCTTAGCTCAGCAAGGCATGATGACCCCAACTAATGAGCCCAATGTACTTTTTCTTTAGATTATACTTAGTTGCTATATCTCACTTTTATTCTTTTCCCATGGTGTTCTTCTCCTGACTTAACCAGCGTGACAGGTGGCTGACTATTAACTCCTGCATTTCCCCCTTTTCGTTTTGGAGCAGAAGATGTGCCGATCTCACGGCTTCTTTCTTCGTTAGTTCTTGGAGGACTTTTCATGTGCTTCTGGAGACTAAACAGAGGATTATAGTGAAACAACAAAGCACGTGTAGTGTTTTAATGAGACCACCTCTGATATCTTTGGTCCACTCAAGAGGACTCAATGATTTAAGGCCCTCTGCTATTCCTTGAAGTGTATCTGTTCCTGGTAGTAGTCTAAGAGAAGCATGCTGCATGCCAATGGTTTTTGCCTGTTTAATATCTAGAGTAAGGTTGTCAGTCATATAGCCCTGCAAGTGTCGTCTAATATTTTCCCAGGTTTGTTCAGATTGGTTATACTCCTGGGGGGGTCACACAGAAAGTAGTAATGTTCTCGTCACACTTTAAATGCATTTGTAATTTAAGATTTTGCACTTCTGCCCCTAAGAGTAGCACTGCAGGATGTAGGTTCCTTTCTACATCCACCAACCTGTTGTTAATCTCCTCATCAATATGAGTTTGGGCTCCTCAAGCGGAACTGGCATTTTTATGCCACTCCTGCACAAAAGTGGTGGTTTGTGCCATCTGATGGAGAGCTACTCCCACCACTGCCACTGTGATGGTGATGGCAATAATGCCCATTATGGTGGCCAGAAGGAGCTCAATGAAATACTTGGATTTTTTTCAGAATGGTATTTAGTACTGTGAGCAAAGTATGCATGTCAGGGGAGGGTTCCCAAGGCCTACTTTGAGTTACTGGCAGCCAGACTCCTAAACACCTGTGCAACATCACATAGAAATGGTTAGAGTTGAATCAAGCAAGTATATAGTTTGCAATCCTGGCAGGTTAGGTTCCTTTCTGTCTTGTTAATAGTTATAGTGCCAATCATAATCATGTATGGATCTCAAACACAAGTTTGAGTATAAAACGTCGAGTTTGTTGATGTATTGAATGACAGAGTATAAACTGTGGAATGAGAATAATTTCCATCCCAAATTTGATATTTCTTCAGGCTTATTTCGATATTTCTTCAGGCCAATTTCCATATTTATATTTGAGCCTTACCTGATTTGAGCTGTTGCTATGGTGAAGACATGCCACTACCATGCCAGATAATGGGATATTCTTTGTGTGTAGTAATAGTAGTGTGATTGTACTCACATACATGCCAATGCAACTTCTTATAAGGATTGCAGGATGAGTTATGGTGTAAGCAATTAGACACTGTATACCCCTTAGGGGACCGGTCCCAGACAATTCCATGGAACCATTAAGTAAGATCACCACCTCAGTCCCGCGACAGTTATCCCAGTGTATTTGATCTTGTCGGTTGGCCCATATGCATCTGTTCTCACACAGGGCTCTATCTGATTTGGTTATTTTGATTAGTTTCTCGATATCCAAAGCTCAATCCAGAAAGTAAATGCAGTTAAACCTTAGTGTGATTTCTGTCCAAAGAATTTACAGAAAGCCAAGCCTGCATTGATAGATTAAGACAGCTCTGGTAAGCACCCAGGCAAAGAGGCCAAGTGTCAAAACCCAAAGTACTATTGAAGGGGGTCTCCTCTTCCTTTTTATGAAGGGCAAACGCTTGTCTTCTGGACCAGGGATCCAGGAGGATTCATTAACATAAACAGGGATAGATCAGCCCAATTAACAGGCCTTAGCAATGGGGGAATTAGGTACATAGGCTCAATAGGTATAATTCTTTGCTTCTGCCAAAGCCCGGGGTAATACTCACTGTGATGGTTATCAGGGCAAACATAGCCATGATCAGGTTGCCTGGAGTCACTGACTGTTTCTGCTCAGTTTTACTCTACAAGTTGGAATCCACACAGGTTCTAGACCTTCTCCTGGGGAGATACAAGCAAACCCTCTTCCCCATGTAATTAACTTCCCCGGTGACCAAGCATTTATTAGTGGGTCTTGCCACCAAATCACAGACTTAGCTGTATTTGTGGATGTAGCCTGAAAATGTCGCTCAGCTGCAGGTTCCATAGTTTGTGCTGAAATATTCAAAAAATTGATAGTAAATAAAGCTTTATTCAATATTGTTTATTGTCCTATGGCATCGCCCCCTTTTTTGTTTTTGTATCATATGTTTAAGTGATTGATTAGCCCTCTCCAG